TTGTACAATTTCTTTTGACGTAACCCTGTCCTTGTCAAAGAAACTATAAACATATAAGATGTATATAAGCACTAACCATTTTCATCTCATACTAAACCGACGTAGTTTATTTAAACTTCTTGTACTAAGCAAGTTCCTTTTATTTACAATCATTATGGTAACATTTACACACAAACTAACAGCTTAGCTATGGGTTTGCTTCTCATTCCCAATTTATCTCACACCAAAAACAAAAGATTTAATAATTTTGATGAACATATGATATAGTTTTGAAACCTTTAAAAATAACTTTATCCTACACTTTACTTATAAATAGAATTCCTTTCCTGGAGGTCTTAGTGCAAACAAATTTTGCCACTTCATTGTATAAAAAACCTGCAGCCAAAAATTGTGTCTTCTCAATTACATAAGTAAAAGTCCTCACAGATATAAAATAGTTGTTATAAAAACATGACTCACTGCCAAAATAATATTTTCAGATACATTATTTTATAAAGAATAAAGCAACATTAAAGAAACACTTCTCAAAATCAGTTTCCCCAACTATGTCATCAAAGAGCAAATAAAATTTACTTTAAAAAATTTCAGAAAAAATAACACAAGCACCCATCCTTATATAAACAAGAAAACAACATTAATTCATTCAATTATAATCAGAAGCAACCTAACTATAAACAATGTAAAAGGCATTAAAAGTGTAATTTGCTGGTATATATACTTAATGATTAATAGATTTATAATTTATTACAAAAATGTCAAAAAAAGATCTAACCTAATCATAACTCAAAATTCTACCCTATATAAAAATGTCCTTTGGGAGACTGGATATTAATAATCAAAAATAACACCAAATTCTTGTATGCACAACATTTTCTTGAAGGCTAACTTGTTGAAATTTAGTGTAATTCATGTACATATAAATGATCAGCTAATAGACACCCAAAACCCAACTATCAACATAAGACAAATATTAGCAGATAATAACAAAATCTTATATGGCACTTTTTGCAAAGGTAAAAGCTCTGTGATTATATGAAAGAAACAATCTGGATTAAATAAAATAGCTTTTACCACAGGCAACAAAATTTTAAAATCTGTGTAAAAGATTCAATATGCATATAAAATAATAATAATAATCATATTTAAAATTGATACATTCTTTTCCAAGTGCAGTCAAACTCTGTGAAACCATTTTACACATGATGTCACTTATACAATACATATATATTTGAATTTGAATTGTAGTGTTCCCAAAAATGCAAGGTTATAGCCAACAAAATCCTGTCTATCATACTGACAACATTCAATTCTTTATAATCACTGAAATGGTTGAAAATACTCAAACAAAAATAGCACAAAACATTGAACTGTGGATTTAAAGGTACAACAACTTATTTGAAAATTAGAAAAATAAAAATTTAACTGGTAGATACTGTCACTTTGATTTAACAGAATTTGTTTAAATGAATTTTTGCTATGTAAATATAATTTACATACATACATACATACATATATATATACATATATATATATATATATATATATATATAAAATGGACCCTCCTGTCATTTTCAATGTGTGAGGATCAAGCAGTTCAGTTCTTAGAACCAAACTGCCAGACTACTTGCACATATGATTTAATTCTAGTGGCGAAGACTAGTGAAGAACCAATCACACTTTTTAGAAGACCTGAATACAGAGAAATGGTGCACAGCATGCCACAAGGTCCCCAAATGTCCCTCTGCAAGTTTTGAATTTCAGAGTTGTCCTTCTTCTAGACTGGTGGCCACCCAAGGCTATAGGACACAGTCAGTTCTACTATTTTACCCATAGATGTGGGGGAGTAGGAGTCATGCCTTTCCCAAGGGGATTAGCTTGTAAGTGAATGTAATGGTTGAGTGAAATTCAAACTCAGCACTCCAATTCTTCAATCCGAGCTGCCACATTTACTCTATCGTACATCCTTTATATATGTATATATATATATATATATATATATATATGTGTGTGTGTGTGTGTGTGTATATATATATATATATATATATATGTCTGATTGAATAAATTACAGACATTATGTCTTCTAATTTTTAATAAAATCTGTTCGTACCCATGAATAACCTTCCATGTATTGATCTTAAAGGATGAGAGAAACATGCTATAGCTGTTTAAATTTTCTTTAAATCAAAAGTACTTGGGAAATGAAAATAAAAGAAATTTAAACATCTATAGCACATTTCTCTCATCCTTTAACATCAATACACGGATGGTTATTCGTGAGCATGAACGGATTTTGTTAAAAATTAGCAGACATAATATGTCTAATTTATTCAATCAGACATGCCTAAAAGATAATTTGCTGCCTAAATACACAAATATATATATATATATATATATATATATATATATATATATATATATAATTTCTTCACATCTTCATGATATAAACTTAATGCTCAGTGATGTATGTAATTTACATAAATGCTTGTGGAAGATATGATATACAAATCTATATACCAAATGAATAGTGGTTAAATGATAAATGACAAAATGATAAAAATCTCCACCATTAAATGGTAACATCCCTTTATCTTCAGCCTTTTTCTTATGTAAAATTGTAACTGATGTTTGTTGAATTTCTTCCTTCAGTCCCTAAATAATTAACAATTTGAAGACGATCCTTTTAGGAATGAAATGCATAACATTGGACGTTTTTTGTTCCTCATTTTGTGATTCAATTACCCACATATAAATGTACACATCTATGTCATTTGTGCTTTTGTATGTCGCTTCGTTAGATCAGCTTTTTTACAAACATAACTTTGGTTAAATTATTAGAATTCCAAAATGAAAAACTTCTATTTTACTAGATTTAAACTATTTTAGGTTTTGTCAAAACATTAACAAAATTTGATGTAGGGATGTTGCAATATGGCTGTTTCATGGGGTCACATCAAGACATAGGCTTCTATGGTGTTGACCATGAAAGATGGCCATTTAGGACATGGTATATGAATCAAAAGCCAATTTTTGCCATTTTGTCATTTGTCATTTAAACTTTATTCTTACTCCATGCTACTTTCATGGTCAGACAGTTATTCAAACAATAAGATAAGGAAATGATTATGGATAATTTTATTTATTTTTTTTTAAAACTATACTCCATCTTCCCCACAAGGTGACAAGAGAGCAAGACAATCAGGCTACAAACATTATCCTAAAAATCAATTTAAATAATTGTTTTTGGTCACTGAAATGCTGTCATGTTTGTAATCAGTGTGTGACACTCACATTTGCAGCGACATGTGTGACATCTGCAGTGACATGTGTGACATTTGCAGTGACATCTCATGCAAAGCGTTTTGGCAAGACATTGCATTACCCAGGTTTATCATCATTCTACTTCACAGTCTGAATTTGGCTGCCTGCAACTTATGATTTTTTTCCAAAGCTAAAATCATTGATGAATTTTGGGAAGGAATGTTGTGTTAATTGTATGAAGCCATTAGGAAGTACTTTGTAGTTAAGGTGCTATTACCCTAGGTAGGCCAATTTTTCATTAATATTTAATGGCTGAATAATTTTTATACAATTATACTTTGTGAGTAAAGTATTCAGTATTAAAAAATAGAGCATTAATAGTAAACAAATAAAATGTTCAAACTTATCTTCCCAACTTAGAGTTTCAAAGAAATGATGTCTGTTTGTCTATTGGTTATATAGTAAACTGAATTTATTTACTGATATCATATAATTAAAAAAAATTTACTTAAATTTCTCTGAAAAGACCTTATTTATTTTAAATTTGTTCTTTCTTAAAGTTGTTATTGCCAAATGCAATCTAATTTGAAATTGAAATAATGACTTCAAGAAAGAAATTATGGATAAGTTTACATCAAATCTTAACATGTTTTTAGAAAAATTTAAGTTTTCTAAGAATTATATGATGTCTGTAAATAAATTCAATTTACCGTCTAACTATTTGATGGTTGGATACCATTTCTGTGAAATTCTCAGTCAGTAAGGTAAGTTTGAACATTTTATTTTCTCTATTTCCCATCTTGAGTATGTGTAATAAATATAGAGTTAATTATTTAAAGATAAAGTATTTTCTTATCTTGATATTTTGTTCATTGACATTTATTTCCTTCAACATTTATTCATATTTCTCAGATGAGGTATTGTAACTAATTACATTATTTACATTGTTTGGATTGTTGTCCTTATCTTTATTGTCATATTCATGACATATCATCCTTCTTCAGGTGATATACGTTGGAATTTTGAAATGAACCCTTTATTTAGTCCGTTGGGGGTAGATTGTTTTAATTCCATATGCCATGCCTTTTCTGAATATCTCAGTTTGAAGTTATTTCCCTTTAGTAACTCAAGTCTCCAACATTTTGTTCACCTCTGCTGTGGCCAGGTATTGAACTCACAACTCTGTTGTCCCCAAGAACACATGGCCCAGTGGATAAAAGCGCTGGTTGAAGTAATCCAGTCACTTAGCCCAAAGAGTTGTGAGTTCAATACCTGGCCACAGCAGAGGTGAACAAAAACTTGGAGAGTTGAGTTATTAAAGGGAATTAACTGAAACAGATATTCCAGAAAAGGCATGGCACGTGGAACTAGAACAATCTATCCCAATGGACTAAATATAGGTTTCAGTTTGAAATTCCAATCACCTGAAAAAGGCTGGAGCATACAATGGCTGAAATGTTGTGAATATGACAATAAAGATGAGGACAACAGTCAACGCAATCTAATTAGTATAAATATTTATTTCCTTGTTCAAATTTTTATTTACCTTTTCTTTATAAGCCATGTTTTTGTTTTCAGTAATTAAAAAATTGTTATTATTAATTCAATAATATTTTGTTCATGTGCTGGCTGTAAGTTAATATTTCAACCCCTTTTCATTTCAGTAAATGAAATGTCCTATCATGACTGGTTTACGCTGGGCGTTTAATTTTACAAATTGGAAACCGATACAGGCAGAATGGATGTTTGCAGCTCAGTGTATCCAACCAGAAGAAAAAGAACGTATTTCGCATTTTATGTTTCAAAAAGATGCCAAAGCAGCAATGGTATGTGAACATTTCTTCAGGTTTTTTTACATTTGTTGGGGACAGGGAGAAGGCAGTAATGAAAATAAAAAGAAATAGCAAAAGGCAAATATTTCTTTTGCTTTATTTTGTTTTCTTTCATTTAAAGTAAATTTGATTTTGTCATAATTTTTCCCAACATTAAGTTTTGTTAGTATGATACATTGCTTCTTTCAGAACTCTGCATGTTTTTTAAACTATGGCCTGCCAAATAAAGACATTAGTAAATCTTACTTAGTTCTCTCGGTCAATTAGTACAGAATTATAAACCAGTATCATAAAAGAAGCAGATCAAATAAAAGACACAATGGTTACGAGTTCTAAAATTCCTTAAGAAAGAATAACAGACGTGGCAATGGTATGAGAGCAGCATACCACCATCGATTAAACAACGGGTTTTGTTCAACATTCCTGAAATGTGACAGGAAAGTTGGATAGAAGCTGAAACATTATGGTAAAAGCAGTAAAGATTAGGAAACTATTTTGAAAATACAATTGCATAATTTTTGTCATTAATTTTAAATGATTATTTATTCACATCTGAAACAACAACTTTATATATAGAATTTATTTGCAGAAAATTATTTAATCATTTTATTAAATTTTGACAATGTCAAACGTTTTATAAAAATATCTGTTTTTATTAGACACTAGCAGTAGAACCCGGCGTTGCCCAGGGACGTAACAGTAAGAGATAGATCAAGTATCGACCATCATAAAGACTGAAAAATAAAATTGACAAAGATTATTGTTTAAGGTTGATGGACACGCATGTCTTAATTAGTTTTTTTTTTTTTTTATGAATTGGTCAAACCCAAACTCAAACAAAAACATTGTTTTCAATCGCTATGAGTCTATCGATTGAATAGAATTTTATTATAAACAATTGTCTTGTAAATGGAATTTTTAAAGCATTCTAAATGTAAAAATAAAGAAAATGTGTGCAAGACAATAAGAAACACTACCTGCCAAAAAAAAGTGAAGTTTTGTTGAAATCGGTTGAAAAATGTAGGAAATCCGATCCCATATATAAACGAACACACACACAACCTGGGTTTTATAAGTATAACTTGATATGAGTTGTCCCCCTTTCATTCTCGAAACAGCGATGCCTCTTAATCATGTTTTCAAATTGATTTTTGCAAAAACAATTGTGTTTTTCCAATTTTTGGCGCTGTCAGAACCACCACAAGGTAATTTTACCTCGTCCTGTGAAGTTTTGTTGAAATCGGTTGAAAAATGTAGGAAATCTGATCCAATATATAAACGTACAGACACACACACACAACCTGGGTTTTATAATAAGTATGATTTTAAGTTTTGAATTTGAGAGATTAAAATTTGAAAAAAGCAGGTAATACATTTTCAACTTCTTATTTTTGTATTTGTTGTAAATATTTGGTCTTGACGTTGAGAATTTATAACAGACAAAATAGTAAAGAAAAATTCTCTGTAGACATCTGTCTTTTGATATTAGTTATACTTCCAAATAGTGTAGTTCTAAATGGTAATTATAGCCATTACAAAAACAGAAATCTTTTCCTTTATATTGCAGTGTGGCCGTCTTTTAATCAGGAAATTTCTAAGCGAATATCTGAAAGTTCCATACGATATTTTGCAGTTGAAGCGAACTGAGAAAGGAAAACCATTTTTAGGCAACATTGATTGTCTGCAGATAAAACCCACTCCACATTTCAATATGGCACATAATGGTGATTTTGTTGTGCTTGCAACCCATCCACAAGCAAAAGTTGGGATTGATATCATGAAAATAGAGAGTCCAAGTAAGTGGAAAATATTTTCATTTTTATTTTTTGTCTCGAGATTTTTTTTTTTTTTCAAGTAACAGATTATTTTAATATTTTTAAATATTTTGCTTATTAGAATTATTTTTTTTACTAGTTTTAGTCTGTCTTATTTTTTATTTTTATCAGAGCACTGGTCAATGGATTATGAAAATTATTTTATTATTGAATTTACTTCCTTTTAGTATTGTTACTTTTTATCCTAACACACTGATTCAATACAGTTATCATTATTATCATTATTTTTACTCATTTTATTCCAATAGTCTATTACTATTATTTTATTACTAGTTTTACTCCATCTTATTATTGTTGCTTTTTGTTACAACTCTGATTTCATACAGTCTTTGATTGCTTGTGTAAGCCATTTACAATTTAAATGAAGAAGTAACTTTCATCAAACTTGAACTTGCATCCTGCACTTTCAAAACTTTTTCTTTGTATGGTGTCTACAGTAGAACAGTTATTAGCTTAGATATTTTTGCATGATACTTGTGCCTTTTAACCTCACTGCTCCAGTGTCAGTCTAAGTAAATATCACCTTTTATAATAAATTATCAGTTTTAATTATTAAGAAGATTTTAAAATATAAAGTAGCATAATTAAATAATTCTTCAAACAATTTGCTTTAATTAAATATTAATTAAATAAAATATTTAATATTATTTTATTAAACAATTTGTTTAATTCAGCAATGAAGAGTAAAGCATTTTTGTTGAAGGTTAACTTCTTCAGCTTCTAGTGTTTTTTTAACATCCAAATAAAAGTTCAATTTTTAATTGATGCTCACATAGAAGCATTATTTTCCAGCTTATAAGATGCATTGTTTATAAAAGGATATTTGGAAAATATCCAAACCTTCAAAAGGTGCCCCTTTTAAACTTTAGTAGATAAGTTGCCAGTCATAATACAAGTGAATTTAACAATATTTGCATATATTTGTGTATTTAAATTTTGCTATATTAGTTTGGTTTCCTTTAGTTTATCAACCTCAATGAGTTATTTAATGCCAACAAAATTTCTATTTCTTGTAACATTTTTTCTTCAAAAATGTATAGCTGGTAATATCTTTTTTTTTCAAAAAATGTATTGCTGCTAATAATTTTTTACAAAGTATTTCTGGTATCAAAACCTATTTTTACACTTTCATGGTGTTTTGACCCCAGTTTGGGGGTTAACTATTTTCCCATAGATGGGACCCTAACAAGTGAAGCCAACTTGAGTCAGGATGGACCTGGTATTCCCAGGTCCACCCTGACCTGATGCTCCTGATCAGAGGCCTTGCTGTTGGATGTAGTTTATCATTTCTGAGATGAGGTATTATATACACTATTTACATTATTTGGACTATTGTCCTCATCTTTGTTGCCATATTTATCACAACGTTTCAACTGTTATATGCTCCGGCCTTCTTCAGACTGAACCCTTTATTTCGCTCACTGGGATAGACTGTTCTAGTTCCACGTGTCATGTCTAATGGATGTCAGTTATCAGTTATCTTCTGTTAATTCACCTCTCCATGTTCTTCACTGCCTTAATCAGGTATTGAACTCACACTGTCTCTGGATCTAACCAATACCTTTATCCACTGTGCCATGTATCCTTACGGCACACCAACCTCAATGTGCTGTTTAATGCTGACAAGACTTTTATTGCTGGTAACATTTTTCCCAAAAAATGTATTGCTGTTAATATTGTTTTTTTTCTTTCAAAAACATATTGTTGGTAATATTTTTTTCTTTCTAAAATGTATTGCTGGCAATTTTTTTTTCTTCAAAATGTATTGCTAGTAATATTTTTTTTCAAAAATGTATTGCTGGTAATAATGTATCATTGGTAATAATTTTTTTCTTCAAAAATGTATTGCTGGTATTAAAACCTATTTTTACACTTTCATAATGTTTTCAGCAAGGGTTGGGGGTTAACTATTTGCCCATAGTTGAGATCCTAACAGGTTCTACCAACCCGGGTCAGGGTGGACCTGGGAACACCAGCAATTAAGAGGTAGTTCCACACTTCTCAAAACCTCCCGATGAGAGGCCTTGCTGTTGAACATAGTTTATCATCTTACCCAGGACACAGATGTAATTTATCATTATACCCAGGATAGATTGGTATATTAAAGAATCTTAAATTATTCCTGGAATAAAGAATTACTATTAGAATTGATAAAGACTTGAAACTCTTGTATAACTCAAGAACATCCACCACCCCTGTCACAGAATATCCTGCCACATTCGTTCTTGGCAGACAACAAGATTAGGAATGCAGAAAACAAATGAATATTTAGGAAGATTTTGAAAGGTCTTCTTTTTTTTTTTACCATTCTTTTTCCTCAGAATTGACACCCTCCATAAAAGTGTTGACACTCAACACATAAAAGCAGTCAACCTTGTATACCTCTTCACACCTCTTATAACTGGTATTCAGTAAAAGCAAAAATAGTTGGTTGCATGAAATTTAATCATGTTTTAATGACATGGTGTTTTGTCTTATTGTGTGTTTGTTATAGAAACAATTCTGGATAAGGATTTCTATTCCCATGTATTTTTTTCAAAAGCCAGGTTCTCTTCCAAGAATCTCAGCCTTTGGTATTTCTAGTCACAGGAATTACTTGGAGGCTGCAAAATATGTATAAATGATTGTTTGCAATTTTCTCAGCTTGTCAAAATTTATGCAAATTATTTTTATGCTTATTTATCAATTTAAAGAAAATAAAATCATATTCTCACATTCTACATGTAAAAATGTAAAGTTAATTATCCTGATATATGTAAGTTAATCTGAGGTAATAAAAACACAGTTGAGCTTGTAAATCTTACTCTGTTCTAGGTCACTACTGGGCAAGGCTAGACATTCCAGAGAATTCTCTACACTGAATATAAAAATAAAATTGAACGTTTGATTATAAATTGAAAATATACTTGAAAAAAGACAATGTGACTATTGTAGAGTTGTTTGTGTTGTAAAAGGACATTAATTTATTTACAACTATAAAAACATTAAATATTTTCATGTTACTTCCACATTAAAATTTAAGAATTAAAATTTTTCAGTTTTTATAATTATCAATTAATTGTATTTAATTTTTCAGCTTTTATAATTGTCATTTAATTGTATTTAATTACTTTTCCGTAGATACCTCCACAGAAACGCAATATCTAAGGTTTAAAATGAATTTTTAAAAATGAAAAAATTTTCTTGAAGATTTTATTTTAGTTTTAATTTCAATTAAAATAGATTAAATGTAATATTTCCAATAAGCAAATTACTTTTTTCTGTATTTCAAAACTAATTTAAATTGACTGGAAGGTGTTTTGAATTTGAAATTACTAAAATCACTGATTTTGGCACCATTTTTAGCCATCCATCATCAAAATGTAATTCTCTTTATTAAAAATCCTTCAAAAATAATATGTTCTTTTCTGAATCTTTATTTGAGAAATGTTAGCTGATTTAAAGTTTAATTAATCTGATTGGAAACAAATATTACTTACTTGGAGTTTAATGTATTGCAGAGATGCATTTTCTTAACAGAGCAGTAGCTGTTTATTTAAGGTTATTGACAAGTTGACAGCTTAACTGACAGACAGAAGTTTATCTAATTTTTTCTACAGTGGATATATCTGTAAAAATTCCTTGGGGAATATAATTTGAGTGTTTTTTTATATAATTTTTAAATACCCAATAATCTTAAAAATTTAGGAAAATATTCTCTGTAATCTAATGTTTTATTGAATTTTAGGTATTTTGGTTTTAAATTTACTATAGTTATCACACTTATTTTCTAATAATATCATCTATGGATGTCCATATTTACAAAAACTGCATGTTTATACACATACAAAAAAATTCAAAATTCTTTTTAAAATACTGGGGGTTGCTAAACTGTAACAAGCATTACCATTTATGATTAGTAAATATAGTTTTTACTTAATAACAATATAAACCAGGTCAAATTAAGACAGAATTTTAAAAGACTGAAAACTTTATAAATTATTATAATTAAAATTTTTAAAAATTGAAAAAAATTCTTGTAAAAATTCATTATTTATTGAAAAAAAATTTTTTCTTAAGACAATAATGTCCATAATATATTTTATTCATAAAAGCAATTAAAAGTTTTTCTAATTAAATAATGCCTTAGTTTTATAGTATTTTTTATTTTACAACTCAGAGCAGATTTTCCCTAACTGGGGTTCCTGTTTTACAAAATGAAATTGATGATTATATTCTCCAAGGAGTTCTGCTTTTAGCTTTTATCTAATTTAAACATTAAGCAGTTCAAAATTTCCTATAATCAAATAAGTGTGTGGGGTGGGGAGTAACAGATGTAAACAAAAAATATTTTTACCATGATTTTCTAAAAAAATGTATTTAAAATAATTCCATTCATTTGTGAATAAGTTCTGAAAGTTTCATTAAAATCCAACAATTATTGATTTTTCCAAGAATTTCCAAATCAATGTGATTTCACCACAAAAAAAAGACACTAAAATTTCCTTTAATTATCTTTGACGTCCCCCAACCCTACTGATAAAAAAAAAAACAAGATTTTTAAATCAAAATTTCAAACATTCTAAAAAGGATAAAAGAATATAATTTAATAATCAAAAAATTCTTTGGTCTTTCCTCTTAATAATAACATAAAGATTTTGATGATAAAATTTTGTTTTTATTCAGTTTGGAGAATTTTTTTCATCATTTTTTAGTGATTCAGTGGAGGTACCTACTTTTTTATGAAAAAATAATTCATTGTAAAATTTGGGAAAAACTATAAAAAAAACACTCAGAAAACTCTAACCTCAAAAAGTTTTTTAAATGAAAAGTTGTTTTTTGATGCAATGAGATAACAAGTTTCAAACTGAGAACAACATCAAGAGTTAGGGGTGGAGTGTGATGGGTTCTGGCTAATATTTGACCATGAATCTGATCCAAGTTGGAAGTTAGTTGGAGTAAAGAAACAAATTAGACACTGG